CAAATAGAAAGCCTAGGCTCTTGCTAGGCTTTTCCACGAGGAACCACTGGGAACTTAGCTTCGCAAAGTTTCTGCTGCTTAAATAGACAGAAGCTGCCTCCTCATCCGGCCCAGCGCGCAGCGGCGCTGCTATCGCTAAATATGTATCCACAGTCCACACACACGTGCATTGATTTGGGGCGGGTGGCTTGCGGAGCAGCCAAATCCTTACACTGAAGCAAACCTTTCGGAGTTCAGGGATGCTTCCTTCCCGAGGATTGTCCTTAAGCTTTTAAGAACCGGGAGGGCGGGTGTCAACATCCATTGATTAAAAATAATAATAATTAAAACGGTAAGGGAAACTACAGGCGCGGACGCGCGCACAAAAACAGTTAATGAGACTTTTTTTGGGGGGGATCATGGTTTTATCCCCTTCCTTTTCCCCTTTAGAATTGTTGGTTTCGTTTATATATCGGAGGGGGGTTCCCTCCCCCTCCCCTCCCCATCTGTTTCTTGGTAACATTTAATGCTGCACGTTTTCAACTAGTGTTTCTGCCTCAGAGACCTCTCTCTCCCGCTCTAGTTGTCTAAAAAAGACAACTAAAGAGCAATCAAAAAGGTGTCTGACTTCGCCATTCAGACAATTGTACCCTTGTGAGAATGCCTGGATGAATGGTACGGTGGACACCCCAGCACTATTGACGTTATAAACATGTAAATGAAACACATTAGGGCAGACAATCAATTGTCTGTGGGCAACTTGCGAACCTGCAAACTCCCTCCGCTGCGTGACAGGCACAAAATAGGGTCTACCTTGGGAAGCCCAACCGGCTCGGGGGTGGGGTGGGGTGGGGGTTCTGCGGCTGGGGGGTGGGGGTGGGCAGGAGAGGACAAAGGCGTCCCTTTCAGAGAGGAGAAAATGCACCTTAAAAGCAAACGGGGGATAATGCAGATTGCCCAGATGCTGTGGAGGCCAAACATGCCTGATGCCTTTCAGGGAATCAACACTCTTCCCACTTTTAAAGGAGAGAGGGAGAGACAGAAAGAGAGAGAGAGAGAGAGGTAGAGAGATTCGCTTCCAGCCCTTAGGGAGTCGTCCCCCCACCACTGCCCCTCAATACACACAAAGCTTGATTTTTAGACTCCCCTGCGATTTTCCAACCCTACGTGCTTAAAAAAAGAAGAAGGCTCTACTCCATTTCCCTGATTCATCTGTAAGAACTGGAGAGAGAGAGAGAGAGAGAGAGAGAGAGAGAGAGAGAGAGAGAGAATATACGACAAATGGTGGGGGGAATATTAGACGGGGCGGGGGGTGACTTTCTAAGACGAGTCCCAAACTCTGAGGCGACACGTTTTTAGACGGCACTTGATCTACGGGAAAGGAGAGTTAACAGGTTCTCTTGAGGACTTCCATCTCTGCCCGCCAAGAACCTCAAACTAAAATAAATACATCCACCTTGACAGGGGGGAAACAGCCCCTTGTGTTCTCCGGGCGCCTCGCTTTGCTCGGGTGTAAGAAGGATGACAGGCGGTGCACACCTTGGCCTCTTCTCTGGAGTGCCACACACACACACACGTGAATGTGTCATTCATATAGACAGAGGTGCATATATTATATACAGAAGCACGCATATATGTGGGTCTGCAGTACACAAATACGAGAGCCAGGTTGGGGGTGGGGAGGGAGGAGGAGGAGGAGAATGCAGTATCTTCAGAGATCACTCAACTTTTCAAAATAAAAGGATCCCTTTGCTGTGGATTTTCGCACTTGTAAAATAATAATAATAATAATAATAAGGCTTGCCTCGGGACCATTCCCCCAGCTGTTCCTGAAACGTCCAAAAAGTAATTAAAAAATTAAAAAAAATACAACTAACCAACCAAAAAAAAAAGCATCCCACTCGCTCTCACTGTTTTTCTCCGTTGCCCTCAGATTTGCACCCTACACTCTCTCTCTCTCTCTCTCTCTCACACACACACACACACACACATGATGTTATTTCTCAGCTAGGAATGTGGCTGGGAATCTTCCCCCCGTCTCTTCCCCCCATCTTTTTGGGGAGCTGGCAAGCCGCTCTCGAGAGAGAGGCTTGTCGAGGCTGCTGTCAGTTTGGTTCCCGGACGCGAGAGATGAGCGAGGCTGCCCGCTTGCTTGGCCTGCTCTTTTGGGGATGGGGAGATGGGACACGCGAGCCTTGCTCCCATTCCTCCAAACTTTGTGAAGGAACCCCCTCACTAAGGGCAGAAGGAGGAAGTCAACTTTGCCAGGGTTTTTGCTCCACGCTCCTGCGCTGCAGAGATCCGAATCCTCAACCCGTGGCTCTTTTGCTTTTTCAAAAAACCAAAACCAAACCCTCAAACCAGCCAAAACCCTAACCCTCACCATCTCTCAGAGAGACAGGAGAGAAAATTGATGGGGAGAGGACTGAGGTCACCCCGTGATCACATCAGTCGCAGCATCTTTTTCCTCTCCAAAGGGGGCCCATAACACCCTAAGCATCAGCCGCCACAGCAAGAGCAAAAACTTGGGGGAAGTTTGCAGCTCGCCTGGCAGTGGAGATGGTGGTGGATCTCCCAGGGGCAGAGAAGGGAGGGGAGGGGGACGCAGAGGGTGGGGTGGGGGCTGGAGAGGGAGAGGGAAGCAAAAAAAAAAAAAAAGGCAAATAGAAGGCAGCTTGGGGGTTTGCCTCCTGCTCGCAGAGAGAAAGTGTTTCAATTCACAGCGAGTCAGGCGACTGGGAATCATCTGACTGAACTTTCCTGAAAAACCGACAGGCATTCCTGGACTGCTGCGGGTTCTTCTGAGCTCCTACAAGCGCCAGCTCCTCTGGAGGGAGACCACGTTAAAAGGAAACGGTTCCCCCTTTCTGCCCTCATTTCAGCCACACAAATCTGGGCATCTCCGCATCACACTCCCACGCCACTTCCTTCTCTCCTCTAAGTCAATTTATGAACTTGCTCGCTTGAGAACAACAACAACAACAACAACAAGCCTATCGTGATTTGAAGCAGCATTTCATCTTAAAACTTAAATAGATGCGCACACACTGCCCAGAATGCTCTCCGGACCTCTGCTTAAGGTCTTCATTCTGCCCATCATGATTTGCCCTTGCTTTAAAAATAATTGGGGGGGGGGACAAACCTTGCACAAATAAATAAAATTCCATCAGCCTAGTTTATGCTTTTTTTAAAAAAAGAAGCTTCTCCCCTCTTTTTTTTTTTAAATGAAGCCACAAATATTTTGATTCTCATGAGCTGCCCCTGAATTTCTTCTCCCTGATTTCGATTAGCACCGTTCTGTGTAATGTTATCAGGAAAAACACAACCACAGCAAAGTGACATCTTTTCCAGGAATCCAAAAGAAGGGGGTGGGGGGGTGGAAGAGAGAAATCCACTCCCGTTCAGATAAATCCCCAGCAAATCCCAAAGGGGCCAATACGTGTTTGTCGAGGAAAAAATAGGAGAGAGAGATGAAAAGGAAGGAGGGAGGAGGAGGATGAGAAGAAAACACACCCCTGATGTATCTACCTGCTATTCAGAATTCGAATAGTTCTCACTTGAGACATGGCTTAACGAGAAAACACGCGCATCATCAAGCAGAGAAAGATGTCTGCTTTTTTGTGGGTTGGTTTTAAGTGCAACACCACCCTCGCAGGTTTGACACTTGGAGTCAAACAGTGGTTAGACTTTAGAAGAAGTTTGCAGAGTCTAAAAGACGCAGGTTACTTTCACCTGGCAAGAGGCGCTCCCTGCCTCTCTCTCAAGACACCCAGGAGAATGTCAAGGGGGTGGGGGGAGAGAGAAGCAGAATGACTATTCCTCAGGGGTCTTTCTGCATTGCTCTAAGGATGCCCGTGTTTCCTGCATGCATCTCATGCCTGATCTCCACGCCGCTAATGTCACCTCTCTCTCCCTCTCTTGGAACAAACTGTCAGGAGGAAACACGGAACATGCAGATAGATCATACGTGCAGATATTCACCACACCACACTGGACACGCTTTCAGGAGATAAGCTAACAGTCTTATACACGCGCACGGGGAAGAGAAAGAAGGTTGGCTTGAACCACATCACCCTTCCCAATAATCAAGAATGCCAAGCCTGAATCTCATTCCATGTGATATTTAACATATCCTGTGTGTGTGGCGCGCGAGGTTGGGGGGGGCGGCGGCGGAGAGGACGGCACAGTTGACATAAAAGGTTTGCTCTTTTAACATTTTTGTAAAGGATAGAAGGGGGGGGGAGGAAAGCCCTACAGCAGATAGTGGTGGTAAGCAAATCAGCTTAATAATAATAATAATAATAATAATAATAATAATCGTACAAAAGAGGTGAAAGGAGTGCTTTTAAACGTCTGCTAAATTACAAGCGGCGGGTGAGAGAGGGTGGGCAGGAAAAGTGCCTCTTTCGCCAGGACCACCTTAAATAACGGCAGGCACCAGGCTAAAAGGGAAAGTGGCGGGGAACGCGGATAAGCGGGGGGGGGGGGGAGAGAGAGAGAGAGAGAAGAAGAAGATGCCCCGAATATATTGTTTAGACTTTGTTTTTTTGCCTTTTTGGAAAGCAGCCCCGGGGAGGTGAGATGGGGTGAGTGGCGACACGGCAGCCCGTGGGGCGCACTTCGCCAGGAGTTTCTGCCCTGAAAAGTCCCTCTCTCACACCTCCCCAGCGACGGGGGAAACGCACAAAAACTCGCCCACATTTGTTTGTAACCAACCTTTCTCTTTGTGTTTCCTTTCATTTCCTGTCCCCCCCCCCGCCAGCCCCAAAATATTGCAAGTAACATCGGTTCGGGTTTACAACAGGGTCTTCCTCATGCTCAACTCCCCCCCCCCAGCCCTCAACTCTAGAGAAAAGTTGCTCAGAGTGAGGGCCAAGGAAGCGCCACGCGGAATGGTGTGGGGCTGGAGTGTGCGAGTGTTTAGTTGCGCGAGGGGGGGGGCGAGAGACTTGGAACTTGTGAGTCAAATAAGAAAGGAAGGACCTGGAGAGAAAGGGGGCAGCTGAAACCCCCTCCCCAAACATCCGACGCAGGATATGTCCCGGGGCAGCGCAGGACCCCCCTCCCTCTCCGTCCGCTTCTTCGGCGATCAGAGGAGAGAGGGCCACGCGCGGGACACGCACGACCCTCCCGACTGCTGCCTGCTCCACAGAGGGAGTTTCCTTGGCCGCCCCCGAAAAGTAACTCTTCCGCCCGCTTGGCTCCAGATTTCTCACGCTGCTCTCCCTCCTCCTCCTCCCACCCCCCTGCTTTTCCCAGGGTCTGGCTAAGCGGCTGAGGTTTTCCTGCGTATGTGTTTTAATGGAGCTGTTCAAAGATCGCCCCCCTCCCTGTAATCCACCCCTCCTTTCTCGGTGTGTCCATTCCCTCCTTCTCTCTCTCCACCCCCCCCCCACAACACAAGGAAGGATCTGGTCATGACAACGTGAAAACTACCGGACGTTTTCCAAAGTGCCTTTTCTTTTCTTTCTTTCTTTCTCTCTCTCTTTCTCTCTCACCCTCAGCTCTTTTGCTTTTCCTGGGTCTTGTGAGAGGAGGAGGGGGGTGGAGGGAGAGAGGGAGGGAGAGAGAGAGAGAGAGAGAGAGAGAGAAAGGCTGGCTTGGCTTGGCTTGGCTGAGAGGTGATTGTGGCCGTGAAGGCAGCGATCAAAGGGAAACAAGAAAGAGACAACGGCGGGGCCAGAGGGAGGGAGAGAGAGAGAAGGAAGGAAGGAGGGGAAGAGGAAAGAGAGCGGGCGAGAGGAATCTAACGGGTCTTCTTGGGCGATCTCGCCGGCGCAGGAGCGCAGCAGCCGGGACCGTTAGCTAACTCGCCCCAGAGGCGAGAAACTTTCTGCTTTTCCCAACGCCCTGAGCCAAGAGAAGCGACGGAGACTGGAAGGGGGGGGGGGGAGAGGAGGAATCTCCTTTCCTCTCTCTCTTCCTTCCTCTCAGCGCCCGGAGTCTCCCACCCCCGCTCCGCTTCCTTAAGGAATCTCCCCCCCCCCCGCGCGCCATCAACTCCTCCAAGGAAGCCCCGGGACCTTCCCTCCCTCTGCCTACTTTGATCGGACTTCTCCCCCCCCCCAAAAAAAAGAAGGAAAGAGGTGGGTGGAGGGTGTGTGTGAAGCGAACCAAATCTTAAGGAGCGCTCGCGGGGGGGGCACACAGACACACACAGGAATAGCAACGCCCTGGGATCCCCCACCGCCGATCCTCTCTGCCACTCACTTTCTCTCGGGCTCCCTGAAACTCTCGCTCTCTCCGCTCCAGAAATACACAACAAACAAGACGGACAGATCTCTAGCTCGCCCTCCCTCCGTCTCTTTCTCTTTCTCTCTCTCTCTCTCGGTGGGTCTCCCCCCCCCCTTCCTCCTCTCTCTTTTCTCCGCCGCGGCGCAAGCGATCGCCCTGCTCCAAACCCACCGCGGGCATTGGGGAGGGGGGGTTTGGGGGCTTTTTGCTGCTTTCTTTCTAGCAACACCCCCCTTCGTCCAAATACGCACACCTCCTTTCATATTTCCTTGCCTTTTCTCCAAACCCTCCCCCCCCTCCCCACTCCGCCGGCAATCGTCTCGAAGTGTCGCCAGGACCCAAAGTAGAGAAAAAGAGAAAAAAATGAAGAAGGGAAAAAAGTTTGATGGAGGGCTTCCCCCCCTCCCCCGCTCTGCCCTTCCCCGGCGGCTCCCTTCTCTCCTTACCGTTTTTCCTTCTTGGATTGGCTTGTTTTCGCCTCTTACACCTGGGGCCATCCGCCATGATCTGCTGCTTCATTGATAAGAGTGGATCAGATGGCAGCTCGCATGGACTCGACTCCCTGATTCAGCAGCACGCAGACTCTATGGAGCAACCAAACAGAGGCACCGGGTGGGCATGGCGAGATCCCGTTCAAACGCGCGGCGCCAAAGGGAGCCCACGGACACAGCGGAGAGGCTCTCCCCACAGGCAACCCCCCCACCCCCCCACCCCGACACCTCCCCACCCTGCACAAAAGAAGGACCCCCACCCTGAGCAGCCCAGGCGCCGCGCACAGCAGCGCTCGCCTTGCGCACCACACAGCGCCACACACACAAAAACACACACACGCTCTCCCTTCGCCCTTCCTCGGAAGTGTCTGGCTGGGGGTGGGGGTGACTTTTTTCTTTCTTTCTTTGAAATGCATGCTCTTCTTTTAACAGACAAAATACCTCCCATCATCATTATTATTATTATTATTATTTAACATTATTATTATCTCCCCCTCCACAACCAGTGATCAGACACACACACACAAGTATTACATCTTCAGAAATGACTCATGACCCGTAGAGGGAATGCACTCGGTTTTAATGGTTTTGTTTTCTGTCTCTCTCTCTCTCTCTGTGTGAGTTTTTTAAACAGGAAAAAAAAAACGTTGCTTGACTCAAATCGCTGGGCGGATTTTTTCCTCCGAAAAGTACTGAGGACCTCACGACGCTGTCTCTTGTTTGCATAACCAATGACACCTTAATATATATATATATATTGAAAGTATATGGCTGCGAACTGATAAGAGCTGCAGAAGAACAGGCTTATCTGCCTTCTCGCTCGCTCCCCCCCCCCACGTTTCTCACACTTTTAAAGTCACGCTGGCAATATCCTGCACAGGGTTCTCCCCCTCCCCAAATGTAATTTCAGCCTCCCTTCTTTAGAAAGAAAATAAGAAGAGGGGTTGCGGGAGAGATGCGAAACTACTCTTGTGAGACTTTCTTATGAGTGGATCTCATTTTTTAAAAATTGTGTGTGTACACACACACACACAGAGAGAGAGAGAGGAGAGAGAGAGAGAGAGAGAGAGAGAGAGAGTCTTGTAAAACTGGTGCACTTTCTCGCTGACACGGCCGCAAACTGGATGTGAGCTTTAAGACTGTCAAAACTGGGGAAACGAGGAAACCCCTCGCTGTCTGGCTGATCTAAGCAAACGCTGTAGCTTCAGAACATGCACCCACACAGCACAGCACAACATAAACAACAACAACAACCACAACCCAGCATACTCTGACTTAAGGACGAGTTTAAACAAGGAAGGGGGACTGGGTAGTGTGTGTGTGTGTGTGTGTGTGTGTGTGAGAGAGAGAGAGAGAGAGAGAGAGAGAGAGAGAGAGAGACTATAAAAGATGCAGCAGATGCAAACTGTAAAACAAGGACAATTAACCCTTGCTCTCCTGGACCAAATTTATCCTAACCTCGTCTTTTGTCTCCCCCCTTTTATTTATATACTAGGCTTTTGCCATCTAGAAATGGACTCGCAGGCTCGTCTCTTTAGGCTGGAAAACCTCTCACCGCACTTGCGTGAGAGCAAGTCCCGCTGAAGTCAGGGGAACTTACTTACGAGTAAGCATGGGCTGCACAACGCAGAACTTTACAGATCTGGCAGGAGAAGGGGAGGGGGATTTCTTCCCTTCCTTTTATGTGGTTGTTTCCCTATTAACTTTAAAGGCGATTTAAGAAATGAAGAAATGAAATGAAATAAACCTTGCGGCAGTGTGTTGTTTGGAGATTAGCTTCAAATGCACTGTGTTGTGCAGGTAAGGCTGTGTAAGATGGCACAAGCGAGGCCAGCCCTGTGTCTTGGACTCAGCTGCCTATGAACCCATCTTGAGCCATTGAAATGTGTGTGTGGAAGAGCGAGGGGAATCAGCACCCCATTTCATGTTTGCTGGAGACTTCTAACTCTGTAGCAACTATCTTCTCCATTAAAAGAAAAGATCTAGCAGGAGGCTAAGAAATTATTCAAAACAACAACCTGATCATTGAAAGCATCCTTGGGTAAGTGGCGAAATCCTCTAAGAATCTACCAATGGAGAGGATCACCGTCAAGGAGTCTCACTGCCTACTTACCCTTTGATATTCATTTTTTTTAAGGTTGCTAAAAATTGTGAAAATTGGGATCTCACCAAAGTCCCCCTACTCCACCCCTCGTCTCTTCCTGGGCGAATTCTGATTTTGTTCCACTCTTTACATTTTTTTTTAATTTTTGTGCTACAAACGACTTTTAAGCAAGTTGCAGTCACTACTTTCACTTCTTGTTGAGAATCCCAGAAGCTGAGGTGTTAACTTCACCCAGTCTCAGAGAAATAAAAGCAAGAAATGAAACTGACTAAGCATACAGAACAGCAAAAAAAGAAAAGAAAAGAAAAACTTTCTTGGTTGCTTTGGAAGAGACTAAATAGAAGCCTGCCACCAACCCCAAGAGCTGCAGCCAGCTAATAATACATTCGGTGGGGCTGGTTTGCTGGGAGTTCTTTTTAAAGCAAAGCCCCAACTAAAATCTTATTATCCAGCCGTGCCTGTGTTGGTCTTGTTCACAGCTTGAAAATCATTAACAGGTACGTGCAAACTTTAAGATGTGTAAACGTGAGGACGAAGAGAAGCGAGCGGAATGCTGCTTAAAAAACAACAACAACCCACAACAGACCGAAGAATAATAGAAAGGCGAACTTTCCCTACTCCTGGTGGGAACTATAAAACGTAAAATAAAAATGGAGGGGTGTGTGTGCAAAATAACCTTTTCCACCTGGTAAGCCAGGTGGGTATATGTCCTGGTAGAGCAGGGAGACCCTAGGTAATAACAGTTTGCAGGCAGAAACAACTCCCTTCCTCTCTCTCTCTCTCAGAAAGTGATCCCAAGTAAATGTAGATTTCAGTTCAAAAATGAGAACTCACCCCACCTCACCACTTCCTCCCTAGCTGTAGACAAGGAAAACAGACCCCAAGACAGCAATTGTTTTTAAAAGAAAAAGACGTGGGGGAGAGAGAGAAAGAGAGAAAGAACGAGGGGGAGAAGCGGAACAACAATGAGCAAAAATAGAAAAGAGAGGAAAATATAACCGAGAACGTACCTGCGAAGTCTTGTGTGTAGTTTTGGTCAGCAATGGAGAGAAGAAGAAGCATGAAAAAGCCGCGGAGTGGAGGAAGGAGGGGAGAAAAAAAGGTGCAGGGAGATGTAGCTGGTTGGAAGAGAGGACAAAATGGTCAAAAAGCCTCGGAAAGAGTTGTCGGAAGGGACCGTTATTCCTGCTGGGCAGGTTAGGACTGATCTCTTTCTGCCACTCCAGGAAACACAAACCTGGGGACGGACTGACGTGTTACGCCTCTTCTAATGACATTTTTTTCTTTTTCTTTTCTGTAGGAGAGAGAGGAGAGAGGACCCTGAAACACACGCCACCTATCTTTGTGGGGAGGGATAATTGAAGAGCGCCAAACGTGAGCATCATGTGGAAACGTGATCGCCAAGTTTCTCTCTGGGAAAGGAAGGATCTGGGATAGATTATACCTTGAAGTCTCCGCGAACGCTTTAGTGGAAGAAATGAAATTCCACCTCCCTCTCTCTCTCCTCCTCCTCCTCCCCCCTCCCCTCCGCCTTTCCCTCCCTCTTTTCCACCCTCCCCTGGCCTGCCTGCCTCCTTCCCTCCCTCCCTCCCCAGCCATCAAGTCTTTGGCATCATTATCCTCTTCGCTAAATCCTACTGGATGCGAGGCGGAAAACGGTGAACACCATTCACAGAACTAACCCAACTCAAAGGAACTGAAAGTTGCAAGGAGACACCCGGAGGCTGTGCGGTTCGCATCCCGCAGGCTTGCTCGCAGCGCGCGGCTATAGAGCAATACGGGATCTGCAGCAGGGAAAGAGAGATCTAGGGATCGTTTGTTTGTTTGTTTGTTTGTTTATGGGCTTCCTCCCTCGATTGCTTTTCCTTCGCGCCCCTTTCAAATTGCAGATGCCAGAGTGACGGGGCAGGCGGGGGAAAACAAAACAAAACTATTCATAATAAAACTTAGGGGTAGAAAGGAAGACGCTGAATTAGCGCTGAAGATATATAACAAGTGGCCAATGAACTCCGAGTCCTTAAAAAAAATAAATTAAATTTATGGGGCGTTTCAAAGCTGCTAAGCGCGCTTACTTCGAGGCAAAACCTTCTGCTGGAGATATAACTTTTACTTGAGAGTGAATGCAGCGAGGATCTCTCTCGCGTGTGTGTTAATAAGTCCCTGCTGCTCTTTTTTGTGGGTGGGAGAGGGAAATTTCGACATTTTTCTCTTGGGGTGTATGCAAAGGCTGAGAATTGGGGGGGGAAAATATATTTGCTTTCCCCCACCTTCTGTTCTCCTTTTACACTTGCAAGGAGATAGTCAGAGGGGCAGTTAGGAAACAGAGATAATATGTATAGAGGAGTATACGGGCGAAGTGCGGTGTAAAAAGACTCGGAACCCATAAACAAGCAGACAAAATAAAGGCAGAATGCATATTCAGTGTATGAAATATATAGGTAGCTTTCACGGACTTTTGCAACTGTGGCTTTAAGCTTGTTTACTCGGAAGCAAATCCCTCTGTGGTCAGTGGGGTTAGCATCACAGTAACTGTTCTTTAGGATTGCAGTCAAAGGTTTAGACAGATTGACTTCTACCTGCACCAGTATATTAGAATATCACACACACACACACACACACACACTGAGAGAGAGAGAGAGATAGAGACAGACAGACAGACACACACACACACACACACACACACACACACTCAGTGTCTATCTCTTACACACAGATGGCCCTTGAAGGGCAGAAAGTTGAGTGGGTAGCTTTGCATTTCATGGGGGTAACAAGTCTTTTTTGTGTGTGCGCTCGCGGAGAGGTGGGGGGGGGACTTTGGCAAAGATTAAAATGAAAATTAAGCCCTGAGACTCCACCTTTGCACTGTGGGGATTGGTTATGCAAATGGGGAAGGGATTTCCTGGCGAAGGCAGCTTTCTACTGTATGGTTAATTAAATCATCACTCAAAAAGGTTTCCAATGTGACGCGCCTGTCCTAATCCAATCAGGTTACGTAGGTCCTAAACAAGAAAGATATTCCTCTCCCCCCCCCACATCTGGAAGTCAGCAATTTAGCAAGTACTGCACATTATTAACCAATTCCGAGTCCACGGTCCCAGGGGAACCTTTAAAACACACACGCACAGCACACACAACTTAAAGTGTGTTCTTAACCAATGCTCTTCTGTTTGCTTAATCAAAAAGCTGCTTTGCAGGCGCATCGTCGGAGGGGCTGGGGGGGGGGGGTTGGGAGAGACCACCGGCTGCAGGCGAAGTCCTTAAAAGCACCCGGAGAGGATGAAAGAGGCCCGGCTGGGCGGCGGGGAGAGGAGAGAAGAAGGGGATCCTTTGCTGGGTTCAGCTTCCCCCATATTTTCCCCCAGCAGCAACCCCTTTCTTTTCTCTGCGAGATAACTTTTTGCCTGATCTCAGTGCTTCCTACAAAGAAACACCCACCCACCCATCCAGGGGGAAAAGTTCCAATCCGCGAGGTTGGCTGGCATGATCCCGTGCTGAAACTAAACAGGAGCTGCCCAGACACACACACACACACGAGAGAGAGAGAGAGAGAGAGAGAGAGAGAGAGAAAGAGAGAGAGAGAGAGAGAGAGAGAGAGAGAGAGAGAGAAAGAGAGAGAGAGAGAGAGAGCGAGCCTGGGTTCCTCCGCAGCATCTTCCTCGCTTGGTCACAGTCAAATCTCTTAGAGAGCGCTCCTCTCTTTCTCTGCAGACCCCCTCCGACCCCGCCAGCTCCTTCCCACTGAAGGAAACTGAAACAAATGCTGCGCTGATCCGACACTCCACTTTTACTTACAGTAAGCTAAGATAAACTGCTGGCGAGCTGTGCATTGAACGGGCGCCTTGAGCGAGGCGACTGGGATGCTTGCTCCAGTCCCTGCCAATCACCGCCTCCAAAGGGAAAAGGCTCCTGAAGCTCAGGACCAGGGGGTGGGGGGTGGATGCGTATTTTGGAAAGGGGAGAGGGGGTAACACACTCTTGCCACCTTGCTGGCCGAGGGAGGAAGAAAAAGGAATAAAAAGCAGCCCAAATCAGAACATGCAACCGCATCCTCTCCGCCACACACGCCCTACTTCCCTCTCTTTCGAAGCTTTGGGTGAATCATTTCCAAAACTGCGGGGACACGGTCCAAATAAACCCAAACAAGGCTTTTGGGGAGAATTTATTTCCTCCCTACCCTTAGAAAATAGGTCTCAATCCTCCGCTCCGCAGGAACTGGAAGGAGGTAGAGAGACACCCCTCACCTCTCCTCGCAGTTCCTGCCTCGCGCGCGCATTGGGATTTCTTGTTCCGTGTTTGAAGGAAATATTCAGACGTTTTGGTTGACACGCATTTGGGGTTAGGATAAGCGCGGGGATCTTTGGAGCGGGGTTCTAAATCAAATGCTCATTTCAGGTTTGCTTGACGGGAAGCTTTCTTCTGGTGTCATCCGGAGAGCAGCCCCCCCCCCGCCGCCCATACCGCCACGACCCACGCTCCGGATCGAACTGGACACAATTGCCCCCTCCGATCCGAATCAAAGAGGGCTTTTTTTCCATTGACACCTTCTCCGGGGCAGGTAAGGCAGGTTCCTAACGGTGGGACGCCCGGAAGAAGCGAAGGAAACTTATTTTTCTTAACCTATGACTATTAAAGAGCCTCTTCCACTTAAGACCTGTCGTTTTTGTATTAATTCAGAACATCGCTTTTTTTTTTTGCTTTTTAAAAAACCCTGATCCACTGATGATGGCAAAAAGATGCAGCTCAGTAATTAGACAAGTGGGAAAAGAGCCTCTCCAGGCTTTTATTCTGGTTCTTTGCATTGAGTTGGGATAAAACTTCCCTCTCTTTTCTCTTTTGAGGAGGGGGGAGAGCTAAACTGTTTACTGACTGACCTAACGATCCCTATCCCGGAGAGGAGGGTACCATTCGTTTTTAGTCGGAGGCGCCTCTGGATTTCTGGAGAGAGGGACAAGAGGGTGAGCAGATCCTGTTGCAAATACGTACGCGAAGTACCAATCCCAGGCAGCCAGATCCCAAGTCTTTTTCATCTGAAGGAGGTCTTTTCGGATCTGATCTGGAGCTCTAAAGCACAGTGACCCTTCTGAAAGAGCTACAGCGAACCTACACCAATAATACTAATACTAATACTGATAGCAACAACCTCCTTTTCTGAATTCTCGATTACACGTCTCCCTCCCCTTTATCTGAAGTGCAAGTGCTTAACATGTAATCTCATTACCACCCCTTTATATATTATTCCTACATCTCTAGATTATTAACTAGGGCACGAGGTGGTGGGGTGGTAGTGGGGGGAAGAGCCAACTTGCTTCCAAATATTTTTCCCCTTCGCCTTAAAGCAAAGCTTTAGATTTCTCCCCCCCCCATTCAAATAAATGGGAGTTACACGGGCAATTCTTTGCGAGGAGGACAGAGACCGAACCAGACCGTGGGAAGGTCCTGGTGGATTTAGAGAAAATACACTGCCGCGGCCAAAATAATTCCTAGACACTTAGGAAGCCCCCCCCCCCCGCAGAGCCATCCTTTAGTTTCCACAAACTCCCGAAACACGCGTGGAAAGAGGGAGGGGGAAGGCAGGCGGGGGAGGCTAACAACGCGGGGGGGGGAACGCTCCCCGAAGAGACTTCGCAAGATTGGTACGTAACCGCTCAACTCTTAGTAGCAAGGATGCTTTATTATTATTATTATTATTATTATTATTATTATTATTACGCTGCTAAACAGGGGGAGAGAGGGGTTTGGGCTGAAGATTTGTGTCAGAAAATAGCAACATAATTTTTTAAAATAAAAATGAAGCCTATCACCACTGAGGAAGAAGAGGCGAAACAACTTTCACCTCGGCGGTTAGGACGCGCGGCTTCGTGAAGCTACAGGAGGAATGCAAGTGCTCTTTTCCTGGGCTAAGCAAGATTTTGACATCAGCGCCGAAAGCGAAGGGAAAACTGATCGATGCTCTGCTTCGCCCCCTCCCAGACAAACGAAGCGTCTCCCTTGCCTTGGCTTCGTCCAAGCCTCCAGTCCCATCCCTTGGCAGGAAGTTGCCGTGGGGGAAAAGGGAGGGAGAAAAAGAAAAGGAGAGACTTACTTTCGAGTAAACTTGGAGAGGCTTGGGAGACGCACGTGTGAGATTTGCAGCACGAGGCTGGGCATGTTGACACAGAAGGATGCCCAGCACGGGTTTCAAGGGGGCTGACGCTCAAGTAAGCCTCCTTTTATTTATTTGTTTGTTTATTTACATTGTCATTATTATTATAGCACACTCTTGGGAATTAAAAAAAAAGGAAAAGAAAACCCCCCACTTTCAGTTCCACAGGCCACCAAATTAGCAGCCTCAGCAAATCAGACGTTGGGTGGATGGGGCGGACGCGACCCCGTCTGGCGCTGAGGAGCAAAAAAAGGGTCCCCGCGTGTCTTTCCCCTTCCCCATCGCTGCAACTTTCCCCCTGCGTAAAGAGGACCCTTGCGGCCAGCCAAACGTGTCTGCCGAAGAAGAGGATGCCAGGCGGGCACCGGGCTCTGCCTTGCCCTCCCCCCATTGCCCCCTTTGTTCCATTGCCTCCATCCCCCACGTGAGAGGGGCCGTGGGAAGCGGGCGGCGGGGAGAGCGCGCGCCTCGACCCCCTTGGCCCGGCCTGTCCACGGACTGCGCCACCAGCGGCGCCTCTCTGGCCGGGCTCTCCTTTTCCCCTACGTGACGCCGCGGCCCTATTTCCGGTTGGCCGGGGGGCTGCGGTGGGAGCCGAGCGAGCGGCCACCTGCCTCCCTCCCTCCTCGCACGAGCCTCCCCCGCCGAAGGGCGGCCGGGGGCTCATTAGCATGAGAAAAGGGCGCGCGCTCTGCCTCGGCGTCTCCCGCGCGCTCTCCGTCTCCCCGCGCATATGGCGAGGGCCCGCCGAAGCAGGCAGGCGAGGTCGGAGCCAGGGGCTCCTCAGGGTGACGGACGGGCGGGCGTGGGGGGGGGGGACTCTTTCTTGAAAGGCGCTGGGAAAGGGCTTGGCCAACTCGGCAGCGGCCCTTCCCGAGACTGCGCTTCTAGAGGATCCTGCAGGTTACCCAGTTAAGCGTAGGATTGTTGGCCTGCTCTCTTCTGGCCCGGGCTGCCAAGAAAGTGTCTGTGAAATTAGAGGTATATTGATGACAGGGGAACCTCACTCGCTCCCATTGTGTCTGGGTGGATTCAGATGAGCAGCTTTTGACATTTGGGATTTTGGGGTTGCTTGGGTAGGTTTCTTTTCCTGCAAACTGAAGGCATGCAGAATTGGGTTGCCTAATAGTACCCAGCAAGCAACGGGCCTTCCTGTTTTCTGCAAGCCGCAGTAGGAAAAGTGTATGCCGTTTTTTTCTGTTTTCTCTTTAAAGATGCAGTTTAAAAGGAGTTTCACTTTTTGGCTTGTTCATTTGGAAGGAGACAGCCCCCCCCCCGGCATATAACGCTTGGTACACATGGCATCTCAAGAATACAGCATGCCCTGGAGAAAGAGGAGGATTGGTCTGCTTAAAATTCATAATCCTTACAAAGTGGCTGCCCCATTCATGAAGTGTTCCTTCTTTTTAGCGAGAGTAAACACAATCACAGTGAAGAGAAAGAAAAGACATTTATTCACGGAGTAGTAATGCTTCTAAACCACACAAATGCAGGGGCAGCGTTTAATAATTTAGTATTATTTTTGCATTGATTTGTATATGAAATAGGTGGAGTTTCATTGTGCAGGGTTGATTGTTTCACCATCCAATCTGTGGGCTCAGAGGCTTGCATTTGCAAGCTGTGAATATGTGCTGTGTAGTTCACTGGGCATACTTGGGTCACCTCCAAGGCAAAGAAGTGGTAGCTGAGGGCTGGTTTCTGTGTTGCACTCTTACCCCTCCCTTAATTTTGCTGCAAGTACACTTCTCAGGCAGGCAGCGGATGCATGTCTGGTGCAGACACACTTCACACCTGAGTATGTGCCTGTCCTTTGGCTATGAGGAAAAGGGGAACTCCAGGCTGCCTTCCTAGAACAGGGAGATTTCAGTAATTCAGTAGCTTAAGCCAAGTCAAATTTCTTTCTGGAAGTGATTGTAAGAAGAATTGCACAGTGTGTGTTACCTCTATAGTGGCCAGCTGGAACTTTGTAGGATTGTTTTTTTGTACAGACACCTGATATTTTCATAATAGGTAGATTTTTTTTGGAAAAGATGATCAGCTGGTGCTCGAGTTCTGCAGCCACGTTTTAGCTGAAGTGTAAGCATCTTGTACTGACACTCACATTGCAGAACTATAAAATGCAAAAGGATCAGATATTTTCACAAGAGGACATATACCACAACATGTTGTGACACTTTTTTCCAGCACCTAACAGGAATGTTCTTGTTTAGGGTTACTGCCAGCCACCTGGAGATGTCTTTTTCTAATTCTTAGGGGCTCAAGGAAGCCAATTTACTCTCCCTCTGTGGTTTTCTATCTCTTTCTTTTCCTGCGTTCTGTTAAGACTGAGCATGTTCAGTTTGGGATTGTTTTGTTAGTTTTCTTTTTTTTACTTCTGCAAACCTTGAGGTTTCCTTTGAGCATTCTGAGTGCACCGAGTTCCTTGTTAGAGGGAACAATTGTGCCTGATTAACATAACTTGCATATCATTTTAAAAAACATGGCAGATACATTTGGAGGATATTGTTTGCTCTATGCTATACTATCCCCTCCCCCTGAAAAAGTTCTTATGCACAGACTTGGAAATGGCAACATATGATGAATTCCTGTATCATTCCCATGTCAAAACAGCACTATGAATCACTGCTTCGTTCATATGATATTCAGGTCACTCCTGTTTCAGTTCTAGGATTGGGCTATGTATCCTGATATATAATAATTGTTTAAAATTTTTACTTTTATATTTATTACAACTTACACCCTGCTTTTCACCATCAGCATCCCAAAGTGGCTTACAGAATAAAAGTATGCAACATACAAAGTTTAAAGCATAAATTGAAACATCAGAGACTTAAAACTTCAGAGCGGCATTCACGGTGCGGAGGCCTCCAAAAATAAAAGAGTTCTAATCTGTTTTCTGAAACTTGGCAGGGATTGTGCTTCCCTGGTTTCTAGTGGGAGGGAGTTCCACAGAGCTAGGTTCCCTACAATGAAGGCTGACTCCTTGTTGACACAAGTTGTGCTTCTGGTTCCCTGTGGGAGTACTAATATTGCTGCCCCTAGGTGATCTCATTGATCATTTTGGGAGACATGGGTTAAAGCATTCTGGACCTAAGTTGTTCTGGAGTTTGCACACTAGTATCTTGAACCTGGCCTGGTCCTCTCTGTTATTTGCCACTCAGTGGCAAAGCATTTGCTTTTTCTACAGGATGCCTCACGTCCAATCCCTGTTCCTTCCGTTAAAACAAGGACATCCAACTCCCAAGAGACTGCAATCTGCTTCCGGGGAAAACTGGCAGTGATCTACCCATTTTTTTTGGGGGGGGAGTTCACAGTTGGGGGGAGGAGACATGATTCTAAATAACGCGAGCGATAAGGATCCCGCGATCATCCGGGGATCAACCTGTCTATTGCGGTCAACCGGTTGGACACCCCTGCGTTAAGAGATGGCCAGGTTGCAGTTGATGGGGAAGATGAAGGGACCCTCTGCAAGACACAGGAGAGTGTTCTGGTCTTGTAGGTGAAATTGTGCTGATAAAAGGCAAAGCACCTCCTGTCAAGAAGGGCTGTAGCTCAGTGATAGAGCATCTGCTTTGCATGCAGAAGGTGCCAGGTTCAATCCCCAGCACCAACCAGGTTCAACCCCTGCCTGAAACCCTGGAGAGTCGCTGTTGGTCAGTGCAGATGATACATGCTTAGATGGACCAGTGTTTGATTCTGTATAAGGCAGCTTCCTGCATTCCTATCTGTGCATATTTGCAAGTGTATTAGAAGTGTGTTTGTCCTTTTGAAAGTAAGTGGATAACACAATCCTGGGTGGATTCCTTTAGTGTTCATTCTTGGGATATAAGGGGCAGTTGCCGCTCTTGCGTCTCCCGTGACACCAATATTCAACTCCGGGTACTCTCTCTGGTGAAGTTGGTGGTTATTAGCATTCCTTCTTTCCCTTTGTTTACAGTTTCTTATTTACTTTGTTGAATTTTTTAAAAGTTGCAAGAATTCTGTCAAATACATATATTCAACAGTATTTAGGCCTCAAAAAATAAAGATGCATTAGAAAGATGCCTATTATGCTTCAGAATTATTAATTGACATTTTTTATGATGAATAATTAATCATTGGAATAATTTTTGTATCTCTGATCTGAACACATATTTGCATATCTAATGTCTGATTTTAAATGTGGTTTCTTTAGTTGCATTCTCCCAGGACAAAGAGATGAAGTAAGAAACATCCTAATGTGAAACTATCCCCCCCTCCACCACCTCCTTGGGTTGCACTTGTAAAAGTGGGTTTATTGAGAGAGAAATTTCACTCAAGATATGAAGTTGTCAACAAACTTTGTATGCCTTATGGGTGCATTGTAGAAAACATATTCAGATATGACTGGCATGAATTAATCCATTTAGGTCCTACTTCCTTAAATTCTGTGATAAGTTTAAGATCCACATTTAATTTATTTGACAAGTGGCCTGGTCCAATGGAGGCTTTCTTGGAAATAAATCTTGCTAAAATCAGCAGGATTTATAGTCATAGATAGATCGATAATCTGGCTATCTATGACATACATATCTCTGTCCTTTTTAAAGCTGCGTTTATATGACTCTTAGCCATACTCCATTTATTGCTGTATGTTTAAGCATAGGTACAACCCCTATGCTGATCCAATTGATCTTCCCAGCAGGCCTCATTGAGAGAAAGCTGGAGGAAAGTTATATCTCTCTGTAAATATCCCATTCGTTAGACACCTGCTACTGTAAAAGTCTTGATGTGACTTACAGCTTAGTGCAAAACACATTCTATGCAAGGCATTCTGAATAAAAACAAAAGCAGCACCTTCAATAAAATAACCAGTGGATTTAAAAAAAATTCAAGCCAACTCTAGAAAATACACATCATCATAATAATCAACAAGCCAAAAATGCCCACAGAGACAGCCATGATGTTAACCAAATGCCTGGGAAAATATGAAAGCCTTTGCCTGGCGCTGGAAATAGGTTGGTGCCAGGTGAATATTCTTTCAGAGAGTGTTCTACACAGCGGAGACTACAGGCAAAGGCCACCTCCCTTCATAATCCTCTGCATCTCCATCCAAGGAGGAACTCAGATGATGACCTCATGGTTTGTATAGGCTCATGTCAGAAGAGGCCTTCAGTTAGGTAATAGGCCCCCAAACTGTGTAAGGTTTTATAGGTTAAAACCAGCACTTTGAATTGGACTCAGAAATGTATGGGTCAATATTTTTTTACCAATAATAGTTGTTCAGCAACAATATACACTTTGATACGGAAAAACCCATGCACTAGCTATGAAATTGTTGTGTGTTCCAGGTTAGGATAAATTCTCAGTCTGTGGTAGGCAGCAGCCAGAAATCTTGATTCTAAGTGGTCATATAATAAGACCAGAATCTGGAGGAGGACAAACTTGTGTTTTGTTTCTGCCTTTGATTTGATTTGATTCCACCATAGAACTTTATCAGGATTTACACCTCATTCACCTTTTGTTTTATTTTGTTTTAAAGCCCCTGACAGATTTACCCCCTATATAATATAAAATTCTCCTGACTGCTGTTCTAATAAGAGAACTGTGATTGTGCCTGTAAGATCCTTCAGGGATGGAGGGAATTGCAGAGTGTATGGTTTTATGGCAACAGCTTTAGTATCAAACAAGAACTTACACTGAGTACTACCTGAGTCTTTCATGGCTTCTTGACTTGCTCTTGCTTGTGGAGAAGAGCACACACTTGAGTCCTAAATAAAACCTAGGCCAGAACTGCTCCAGATTGAAATATGCTAGAACCGAGGTGGGAAAATATAATGCAGGACTCTTGGGTTGAGCTTTTCCATTCCACTACTTGTGCTGGGATTGTGTAAAATACAGTTGTACCTTGGAAGTCAAATGGAATCCATTCAGGAAGTCTGTTCGACTTTCAAAACGTTTGAAAACTGAAGTGCGGCTTCCAGTTGGCTGCAGGAAGCTCCTGCAGCCAACCGGAAGCTGCAAAAGCCCTGTTGGACGTTCGGCTTCCAAAAATAGTTCGCTAACAGAACAGTCACTTCCGGGTTTGCGATGTTTGGGAGCCAAAACTTTCGGGAACTAAGCTGTTCGCAAACCAAGGTACGACTACAGTATGTTGATGCCACAAATAATCATGGCCATGCAATTTGTTTATTTATTTAATCTGTGAAATTTATATACTGCCCTTCATCACAAAATGTTCCCGTGGTGAACCTGTTGTTTATGCTGAGTAGAGGAAGCATCCTTCACGATTTCTAAAATTGGTACCCACCTGTCATCTCTTCTGAAGAGCACATAAGAAAGATTGCTCATGTGATAAATGTTTTCAGGATCTATTTTGCTAAAAAAGCATCGGCTGGAGGGTTGGGGAGGGGGGCATCGTCTTGAAATTACACTTCCAACATGAAGATACCTTAAGTAATGTGTTGGAATTTACATTTTACCTCCGCTTTATTGCAAAGTTGCCCGTAGATCTCACCAATCTCATGCAGCCCATGAAACTAGCAGAGTCCCACAGTACAACCCTCTGCATGCTTGCTAATAATAATAATAATAATAATAATAATAATAATAATAATAATAATAATTTATTATTTGTACCCCGCCCATCTGGCTGGGTTTCCCCAGCCACTCTGGGCGGCTTCCAACAAAGATGAAAGATACACTAAGTTAAGTAGCCGTTTGCTCAGTTTGGGTGTGCTCCAGGTTAAATGACAAGGACAACTCCCAAGAGGTACAGCTCCCCAAAATAATTCGAGCTACCCCATTCACTACTTCAGCTTTCAGCTGTAGTATTATCGCGGTCCCGTTTTACATAGATGAAATCCTTTCTGCCCTAATAACAGTCTTTGCCAGCCCTTTGCTCCCCCAAAGTAGAAGTGTGCTAAAGATTGCATTCTCAATCTGTTAGACAGACTCTGGGTTTCACTGCCAACATTTCCTAGGCCTGCCTAATTTGTGACCCATCAAGTTGATTGCAGCCAAGTAACCTTTTATAGTCGCCTGCCAGATTCTTGACGACTCCCCCATTTTGCAGTTCCAGGCAGGCAGAAGAACCAGGAATTTATTGAGCCACTTAGTGCATGCTGCTATCCGTGGTTGGCGAGTTGTGTTTAACTTGGCGGGTCACAGGTTTGCAGGGCCTGCTGTGTACCCAGGCAGAACTGGGAGTCCTGAAAACTGCAGCAGACATATTGAATCACCCCCAGTGGTCTTTCCAGCCCAAACTTGTAAAAAAATGAGTCTGATGCTGCTTTAAAATATTGAGCAGCAAAGCAAGCTTAATTGAGAGAGGTGGGTGCAATCCCTTGAACTTTTATTTTATTTATTAAATTTGTATACTACCCTTCATCCGAAAATCTCAGGGTGGTTCACAGCATGAAAATACAAAATGAAAACACGAAATACCTAATGAGAACAAGAACAAACCAATCCGATAAGCCCCCACATGCTGCAAACACATTAAGAAAACATAGAATGTTAATCAGCCAAAGGCCTGGTTGAAGAGGAATGTTTTTGCCTGGCGCATAAAAGTATATAATGAAGGTGCCAGCTGAACCTCCCTGGGGAGAGCGTTGCACAAATGGGGAGCCACTACAGAAAAGACCCATTTTCATGTTGTCACCCTCTGGACCTCTCATGTAGGAGGAACATGAAGAAGGGTCTCGGAAGATGATCTCAGGTAGGTTCATATGGAGAAAGTTGATCCTGAGCTGTTTAAGGCCTTACAGGTGAAGACTAGCACTCTGAATCGGGCCAGGAAAGTAATTTGCAGCTAGTGCAATCAGGCCAGGACTGGTGTAATATACTCAAACTGTCTTGCTCCGGTGAAAAACTTGGGCACCGAATTCTGCACCAGCTGAAGTTTCCGAACCGTCTTCAGAGGCAGAGGCAAAGGCAAAGTGCGTTAATTTAAATACTTTTAATTAAAAGGAAAGTTCATCAAAACCTAACACCCTGTCTTGGCTTTGGCACATTATATTGTGAGCTACAGTGCCACTATTCTAACTTACATTGGTATACAAACATTTGTTAATCTTTCCTGGTCTGAGTCCCTCCCCACCCCTTGACCAGTCATCCATTTGTAACTAGTATAAATCAGTCCAGGCAAGTCTGTCGCTGAAAAAGATTGTTTTCTGGTTTTGAAGTCGGCAGAGGGCCATACGTGGCCCTCCAGACCTTGAGATACTCTGTAAGCCACATCCACCCCCGGCCTTGCTCCATGTCCTCCTTGTGTGGTTTTTGCCTGGCTGGAATTTGTCCTTGAATTGTGATAATAACCCTTACTTGTGTGGATGCAGAGGTATGGAATGGCTAGAAATGCAGCCCACTGTACAAAGGTGAAAGCCACATCTTTTTGTTTCCAGCCACAACCATCACTTGATATATAGCCCCCAGAAGGTGGCTCATGAAACATCCCTTGTGGTGGAAAATGTTCCCTACCCCTGCTTGGAAATGTAAATCAAATGGCAATTCCTCATAGTGACTTTTCCTCACTCAGCCAGTATGTGTGAAAACAAGCTCCTTTCCAGATCCACAGATTGCGGCCAGAACTGTTCCAAGGGTATCAGAAGCTGGAGTGATGTGGCATTTCCAAATGTCTAAATGTACAATGTCATCATCAGGAAAGCTGCTTGTCTTGGAGATGGTTGGTTGCTTCTAAATCAGTGTTTCCCAAACTTGGGTCTCCTGCTGTTTTTTGGACTACAATTCCCATCATCCCTGACTACTACTCCTGCAAGCTAGGGATGGTGATAGGTGTTGTAGTCCAACAACAGTGGAAGACCCAAGTTTGGGAAACCCTGCTCTAAATGACTGACAGCATCAACCTATACATGTTTGCTCAGAATGAAGTTCCTATTGTGAAGTTGGTCCTGTTTAGTTTGTATAAAAAGGGTGGGGAAACCTCTGGTCTGGGAGCCAAATGTGGCCCTCTAGTTGTCTCAATCTGACTTTTGCAACACTCCCCAGACCACACCACTCACTGGCTCTTCTTGGTTCTTTGAGTGTTTTTACTTGGCTGGAATGTGCCTTTGACCTCTGAAGATG